TCTTTTAAACACCTCAAGGGAGGGTGACTCCACCACTTCCCTGGACAGCCTGTGCCAGGGCTTGGCAACCCTTTGGGTGAATAAATTTTTTCTAATAATATCCAACCTGAACCTCCCCTGATGTAACTTGGGGCCATTTCCTCTTGTCCTGTGTCACTTGTTACCTGGGAGAAGGGACCAACCTCCACCTGGCTACCAGCTCCTTTCAGGCAGTTGTGGAGAGCTACAAGGTAGGTCCCTCCAAGCCTCCTCTTCTCCAGCTTAAACACCCCTATTTTCCTCAACTGCTCTTCAGACCCATCACCAGCTCTATTGCTCTCCTTTGGATGCAAAGACAAGGACCAAAAGAAATAGGAAAGAAATAGTTACTCTGAGTCATTCATATCTGCCACACAAAAATCAAAGTTTCCATTAAATTAAAGGAGGAAAAATCACTTGTTCCTTAAACTGAAAGATTAGTTAAGAATTTAATTTCATTTATAAGTTTTTTTAAGATGGAATGTTAGTTCTGCTCTTGGAGGCCATTATTCTTACAGCTTAGAATTACATTTTACTGATGGGTGTTCAATACAGCCCACCTGCTGCCTTGGTTCTTCTAAAATTCAGCTGCAGCTATTCATTTTACCATAAAGGAGAGATACAGAATTATCAAGACATACAAAAGAATTACCGTCTGCTAAAAATAATTAAATCCAACATCAAATTCAGCTTCAGAAAAGCTTACTGATTCTTAATTGCTTTCCTCCATTAATGGCTGCCTGCATTGTACAGCTCACACTCATTAGCCAGTGCCATTTCTGTCCCCTCATGGCTGCCACTGTGTGAGCAGCACAGCACTGGCTTCTCAAAGCTGTGGCAGCTCCAGCTGAGGTGTGGTTTGCTCCCTTCACAGGGATTATTATCCAAGGCAATTGGCTTACAGTGCTCATCCACCACACAGCATCACCACCCTCTGCAGAGACCACAGGGGGCTGGAGGCTCCATAGGTGGCCTCCCAGCTATGAAAAAGTGCTCCTGGAGAAAGAAAAGTGTACAAGCTGCCTTTGTTCAGAATAAGGGCACAAGTTGCCTCTGGAAAATTTGATGTATCCATTCATTTGTATCCTCTCACAAAATCTAAGGGAAGAAAATCACTTCCCCTCTGGTTTCCCTCAGACTTACCTACACAAAGCCCAGAGAACTTGATCTAAAGTGCTGCAGCTATCAGGAAGCTCCTGTTTCCCAGACAGGGACAAGACAATTATTCCTCAGGTGGCAGTAGCAGCAGAGAAGTGATTGAGTGACAGAAGCCCTAGAAGTTCCTGCAGGAGATCCGCTCCCCAGGCTTCAGAGAAAGGTGGAAATCTGACGGATCCCTGTGGTGCAAATTCATTTCCAGCTCATCTCGAAGAAGATGCTCAAAGCTGAGCCTATACATGAAGCAAAAATGTCACAGAAAGACTAGAAAAAGAACCATTTGTGCCTCCTCAAAGGTCTGTCCCATTGGAATCTTGTGCCTCATCTCCAGCTAAGTTCAGTCCCAGCATGCCAGAGAATGGCAGGAAAATGGATTCTGTTCCACTCACAGCTGAGTAATGAAGTGTTCCTGGCCATGACAGGAGAGCCTCCACAAGATTTTGTCTCAATACAGACCCACAGTGACTCAAGGGAAAGCAGGGGAAGCAACTCCAATTACTTCATGTAATCACGATTTCAAATTGCTGAACATTAGAGCTTGATTCAAATCATGAATTCCAGTCTTAGTTTGCATCTGCATTTTTTAGCAATTTGTTGTTTCCAATTTTCTCAGAAACCATTGGAATTTGCAAGTAAAACAGAAGCATAAACACTGTATTGAAACCAGTGCTACTCTTCTCAAAACAAGAGTGCAGCTTTAAATATACACCTTAAAATAGCAGCCATTGAACTCGATACTTATTTTACTGCATCATCAGGTGATATGTATCAAAATGATATTTGGTTTAAAAAGTGTAGGTTACGTGCCATTTCCTATTGAAATCATACTAACATAGCATTTACTATTTATTCATTTAACCAGCACTACTTTATGACTGCTGCAGAGCTCCTCAGGGGCATCACAAGCACATACAACTCCCTCAAGGTATCATTTTCTATTTTCCCTGTCACACTTGCTGCCTTTTCGTGGGCCAGCACAGGCATGCTCTGTACAGGATGCTGTTTACACAATTCGCTAGGAACCTCTTCTTGGAATTTCCTTCCTTTTTCTTGCTTTGTGCAAACTCACTCCCAGCCTTCAGCAGCTACAAGGTCATCCAGATTATCTCCTTTTCCTTTACTAGGGGCTGAGGCAATTTGGTTACCTGTGGTTTGCTTTTAGCCATGAACACATGCAGTGTGTAACACAACCCCCTCTGCTCCCTCAATTTACATCCAGAGTACAAGGTCTCTACTTATAAGAAAACATCTCAAAGATGTCTTGCATCTTTATATATTTTTAATCTTTCCATATTTTAAAACAGACCTCCATCCATACTCCAGCTCATGTAAACAACCCATACATATCCCACTTGCATATAAACTAGGGATTACACTGAATTCTCAGGGAAACTAACAGGAAAAAATCCTGCTCAAATTGGCATTAAATTTAAAGGGCCTATTTCTGGTTTTTGCTAGAAAACCAGAATTTCTTCATATCGTTAATTTTAAGAGCATAAATGATGTTCCTTTCCTGCTGATAATCTTTGTTTTTCTTTATGGCAAGAAAACAAATGCTCACACATCTACGACTTCTGAAACTTCAGTGCCTTTGGAATCTTAGAAAAAACTCATCCTCTACTCTGGGTAAAAGAACATCCTGTTGGTAAAAAACAACCATTCCCAGGCTTCAAAAGCAGTATCCCTTTCCACAGGTTTATGGAAAAGGACCATAACAACATGATGCCCATGAGCTGCTTGGCTTCAGCAAAGATGACAGCTATGCACATCACACCAGCCCCGGCCAGAGTCCTCCAGAAAGGCTCGACACCCTTTCCTGGGCAGCTGTGGAAATTAAAGGCTTGGGTGAAATTCTTGTATTTTCATCTACTAGGCTAAATCAGCGTTTTCACTGGCACTGGCTGGCAGAATTTATTTATTGGTACATTTGTCTTTGCGCTGCTGGGCAGCAATTGCAAACCTAATTATTGCCAAAGTGGCTCTTGGGGCTTGTGCACAGGTGTTTTGCTTAATACTAAATCTAAATAAAAAACTCACTAGCAGGGACCTGTTCATAACAATCTGTGACATGCACACTCGTGAGGAGAAAAGGCACAGCTTTCAGCCCTCTCTCCCCTCCAGCTCCTTGCTATTTAATTCTTCAGGCAGAAGCACTGTGCAAATCAGCAATCATCATCACACCATTTCCAGGTAACAGCTTTCAGAGTTGCCAAGCAAGCGTGCTCAAGTGGGGCTTTCCCTCTCTAGCACTGCTGACAACGAAAACCTAATTGATTTGTGAAGCGTCATCTCAATGAGCTAGCTTCGTTCATTTTGCTCAAGCCATGTTCTCAGTAACATCTATATAGTCCCACACATTCAACTGTCAAGAATAATAAATAATTGCATTCAAAAAGCCTGAGAAGGAATTGAAAGTAAATCAAAATTCTTCAAGAAGCAATTTAAAGTGTGTTTGCTACTCTACAAGACACATCTTTTTCTTTCAGTAAATATGTAAATAAACAAAACAGAAATTTCCCTTTTAAACACCGTGTAGTGCTTCTCAGTAACATCAGCATAAAAGCCTTGTAGTCTTGAAATAAACAAATAAAAAAACAATTGCTGGAATTTTCAGAGCTTGACTCCAAAATTGTGATGCAAAAAGCACAGCTGTGACCAATAAAAAGATACTCTAGAAGGTGTTAACACTCACTTCTCTTCATCCTGTGCTTCAAGATTTGATATTAAATCTCTGTGTAGATTAGAGGGGTCTTAAATGAATGATTAGTTTATTTATTAACAGCTGTGCTTCTCTGCTCTCGCAGCAATTTATATTACCTGATCAGAATGTTATGATATGAGTTATTTTTTTTAATTAGATTTTCCATCTTTTGCTATTTCAGGGTAAGATGAGTGTAGAAAACAAGAGAAGTACAAAAACATGTAATAGTTACCTTTGGTGACTTCAAAGAGGTTTTTGCCTGAGCTTTAGCTCCTTCAGAGTCCTGAATGTCTTTTACATATTTTAAATCAGACAGTGATACTCCACTTCTAGCCCCATCACTGACTGCTTTGCCAAGAGGAGCAGGAATAACCCTCCAAAGAGGCTCCTGTTTCTGCCTTCTCCAAGGTAATGAAAAGAAATGCCCATAACAGGTTTAGTCATTTTTTCAGTCAAACAGGGAAGAAAGGCAAATTTCAAACTATTTTGCCAGTGATCACCCATCTTCCTCTAGTTTTTTACTGATTCAATCACATCCTTTAAACCAAAATCTAAGGTTTACAAAAAAGAAAGGGGGGGATGGGCAACTTTATCCATACCATGTCATAACTTAGTTGTGATTCTCAGTACACTCCAAATTTTTTAAAAAATAAAGCCCAAAAGATCCATTTTAAAAAGAAAGAAATGGAGAGACAAGACACTGAGTACATCCTGTAAATACCACTGGTGCTTAAGCAGTTTATATTTTCAGGATGGCTGCAATTAGTTTTTGGCTTTTTCAGTTTTTTTAAATAATGAATCAACAAAACAATGAGTAAGGAGTAAGAGCACAGATCAAAATGGCAATTATAAGAGCATGTTTTCCATGATGATAAAAGCTACAGAAACACATTGTTTGAGCTCTTGCTGATTAATTATCAAAAAGGACATTCAAATACGGTTAGAAAATTGCTACATTTATCCTAATTTGTTCAGTACTGTCAGTCACATTTGTAGTGTTATTGAACCATAGGTATTTCTGTTTCATTACTGTAGCTAGAAAAATGTGTGTGGGCTGAAACTATAGCTGAACTAGAGAGAAAACTGTTTCAGCATAGAAAATCATCTTACTAGTAATTCTTCCTTCCTCAGATTTGTGTGCATAATACTGAGTTTCAGCATCAAATGGGAGATTGTTGGAGAAGATACAGTGATCAGCCTGAAAGTGTAACTGGCAGTAAAAACCCACTGAGAAGACCAAAATGTTTTCCAGAAAAAATGTGCAGTCAACAAATTTGTAATTCCGACCAGGGCAAAAGGTAGTGGTCATTTCGTTTTTTTGAATGTTTAAAATCCTAACATTTTTTAAAATGTATAACAAAACTTGCTCCAAATCTTCTGGGAAAAATTAGAAATCATTTCAATGCTCTATCTCAAAAAAATGTTCACAGAAAAATGACTGCTGACAAGGACAGCTGCTTATTTGAAATCCCAGTTCAAATAAGTCCCAGAAAGTCCCAGAAAAAAAAAGTCCCAGAAACTTGCCTCAGTTTGTAATGTTTTACTAGAGGCTTCTTGACAGCTACATATTCATTATTTCAGAGATTTCACTTCTGATGTAAGAGTATTTGGACAAATAGTCTTTCAAAATACTGCATTCCATCCACTTTGTCCAGCTTTGATAACAGCATATTGATAGACAGAGAAAGCAATTTTCTGTATGTTTTAGAACTTCAGAAGAAATTTCAACTGAATTTCATCCTAAAAATGAGTAAAAAATTTAAGTTGTGCCTGGAGTGAGAGATGCATTTATCAAGTTAGCTAGCTTGCTTCTTAAAATAGAGTCTCACACCCTTCCTAAGCCTGACATTATTTGCTTTGTAAAGCAACACCTTTTCTGTGATGAAACAGATGAAGATGCTAGTCATTCCCTGTGAGGAAACATGAAAGAAAACATGAAAGGCATCCTGTGTATTGCTTAGAGCCATGACACTGCCAGGAGAATGAATGGACTTCATACAAGTCTAAGGAAACACGGCGAGACAAGGTGAGGTGAAAGTGTGAGAATGAACACGGAAGGTGTCATCACACATGGAGATTCAACTCACCTTTTGCTGTGATTCCAGTGGGTATGTGAAGATTAAGGTTTTACTTGAGGGCAATTGAGGGTGCTTTTGGCAAGTCAAGAACTTGGAGCAATTTTATCATTGACCTGCAGAAGGAGGACAAAGTGAATCTTTTCATCTTCAGCTTATTCCTGTCCCTGGGTAGCTGATCTCCTCACCTAACTCAAACCATTTTTATTTAACTATAGAGGATTCCTGCTCCAAATTAATACAGCATTAAAAAACAAGTTAATAGGATGCAGTGTACTCCACACTAGCAATTTCAGAACTACTCCTTATCTTTGGGCCAGCTGCAGAGTGAAAGGCAGCCTGAATTTGCCATAACCCTCCTAATGAGTTCTGAAGCCCACATTGCTGTGGCTCTGCTTTTAAAGTCCTGTTTCTTTGTACTTTTATGAATTTAGAATGCAGTTATCAAAATATGAAAAATATTGTCTTCTTTACCACATAAAAGAGATCAAAAGAGTGAAACATTAGCAACTTGTTCAAGTGTTGCAGTGAATAGTTCATCTAACAATGATTTTTATGCATTTTATGGCCACCTACCCCATTTCATAATAAATTTTCAATATAAAATCTGATTCACAGTTCTTCCAGAGACCTTAAAGAGGTCAGAGCTTTCACTGAAAAATTAGAAATATTGTTCAGTTTATACAAAAAGGTAACTGAAGAAAGTCTCTTAATACTAAAAGCCTGAAGAACTAGAACTTTGTCCTTTGAATGGAAAGAAAAGCCTAACAGATTCATTTATTCCAGGAAATATTCATGTTGAGTTTCTTACTGCCTGAAAGAACCTTTCAAAAGGCAGTCACCCCACAGAAGAGTAAATCCAGCTTGCCTAATAGGTAGGTAGGTAGGTAGGTGTAGAGGAAATAGCCAGCATTTTTGGAAGGCATAAAAATTGAAAACCAGCAGTAGCCATTACACTTGATTTAAGTTTCAGCTCTCTGGAGCGCACAACCTTCATGCCTGAAGCAGACTTGCAAGCACACACCAGCACAGAGCAGGCAGGACTCCAACTCCACCTGGTTAGATTTTATTTCCCAAATAAGCTTTTAATAACTCACTACCTACCTTCATCTCGTTTCAGTTTGGGAGATGAATGAGAAAGGCCATTTGAGATGTGTGGTTGCTGAGATCACAAGCAACTCAGCAACTGTAGATTCTTCATTTTTAAGGAGAGCAACTGCCATTTGGAGGTGGAGAAAGCAACAGATTTTGGCAAGGGGGCCAAGGATGTGTATAAGTGACTTACAGGAAAGTTATCATTTATCAAGATCTGATAAATTTTACCACATACACGTCACTCAGTCTGCTCATGCTCCTGTTGCCTAACACTGCTTCACAGGCAGTAAGACCCCCAGAATTCAGGGCCAAAGTGTGAGCTTGGGAAGGATTCCTTTTCTGTGCCCTGGGGCATGACCAGCTGCACACATTATTCCTGACATGTATTTCTGTACCCTGTTCTTAAAGGCTTCAGAGCCTCACAGATCTCAGTCATTCCAATCCTTGCTAACATTTCTGTATTCTTGAAAATTCCAAGGAAGCACCCTCTAATTTCCTTCAATTTAAGCCTGTTCATGATTTGCTTTACCTAGAGCAGCTAGGCAGAACAAGCCATTCTCTTTCACACTGCAACAGTCTGTAATTAGGAGCAAAGGATGGATTCTCTAAATCCTCTCTTCTTCAAGCTGAAGAACATCAATTTGATTCATCTTTGTCATAAGTCATGTTTTCACATTTTCAACAACTCTTTTCCTCTGTCTACACAGTCCTCAGTTAGTGCACAGCTGGCTTGGATTTTGGTACCCAGGTGCTCTAGGTTTTAGTACCACATCCCCTAGGACAAGCCCTAATTAAGCAGAACAACTCACTCATCTCCCACCCAGGCTAAGAATCTCATGCACGTGCCTCAAGAACATTTTTATTTTTACAGAATTTCCCAAAAACTGCCATCCATTTCTGTAGAAACACTCCACAGCCAGCTCTCCCTATGCCACTGCTATTCCTAAGCACTGTGCTTGGAATTTGGACCTGTTGATGAATGTTTTTTCTTTTCAAACTGCTCCTCCTGTTAGAAAAGATCATTTCAAGCAAATACTGAGCTTTTCATTCTCCCACACACTTCTGGCACCTACTCCACATAGTGTGCTCAGAGAATTTGAACAATTCAATTCAACTCCAGTTCTTTGTCCTAATCATTAATAAAAGTCAGATGTAATACCAAGGAACATATAGATTCAAACTCCCCTATGCATAATCAGATAGGGAATTTGGAATGTAAATTAAGGCTTTGTTTTGCACATTGTTACTCAATAGCAGTGATATTTCAGCTCCTCCAAAACCAAACCAACTAAACCAACATTTCTCAAGCATTTCATGATTTCAGCTTTTGTGCTCCTTTTTATTCCACTTACTGAGCTGCTGCCTTATTGTCTAACTCCTTAATTTAAAAAAATGCATCACTGATACAAAGCAGTTACAGTAATAATTGCTGAAAGATAAACACACGTTTATTTTGAGAAACTAGCTTGTCACTGACAATGAATACCATTGTTTAACAGTAAGAAAAGCATCTCATGAAGATGCATCTCATCTCTGAGAAAACTTAGTTTTTTTATTTCACCTGAGAACAGTTTGTCAAGAATCTTTATATTCCTCTAAGCCTCTCTCAAGGTTATCTCACAGATGTTCAGAAATTAATTGAAAGTAACAAAGTAGAGAAAGCTTTTGCCCCTCAAAGTGATTTTTAAGTGGGAGTTAACTCTCATAATCTCTGTGCACAGCCAGAAGCAGGTGCAGGCATGGCCCAGAATAATTTAAGCACTCACAGTACTCACAGGGACTGAGTTTTATCCAACCTTGAGATTCCTGCAAAATAAATGAAGGAATAGCAGGCTTCTCTCAGGAGCTTGAGACAGCAGAGGAGGACATTTCCTGGATGTTACAGCCTGGCTGCTCTCCTGCCAGTGGCACTGGGGAAAAGGGGTGACATGGCTGTGTGAGCCCCACAGCACCTGGGAAGCCCACCCATGAAAGGTGGGGTGTCAGAGCACCACTTCCCACTTTTTAGGGTATTGATATCACCAAGGCAATGATAAAGGCCCTTCAGAAAGGGCCTCCAAATCAGATCAGATACATCCACATTTTATCTATCATGCCTCTGCTTCTGTGGTGAGGAGAAGCAGCTGTCTGAAGCACCATTTGGCAGCACTCTCCAGCAGTGGACAGGCAGCACAATTTCCCATCTGACTAGGAACAAGAAGTCAGCTGTAACACACAGATCAACCAACCAGACAGAAGCCTGTTGCCAGCCCTTTGTGGCTTCAACACGGAATCACAAATCAGGCCAATGATCTGCTGCTGGAGAGACACCCCAGGCAGTCCTAGGGCCAAGTGAAGCACCGGCCCAGCTGTCAGCTGGGCAAGAAGGGAGCCCATGGCACAAGCTTCTCAGGAGAAAAACAAAGCAAGGCTGTATGGTTAAGCCATTTTATTGGGAAAGGAAAAGGTGGGGTGCATGGGAAAATCACAGTGGGAAAAATCACGTTTCTACCACAGATGCCAAATGGACCTTAACAATCTGTAAGGTTAAGAAGAGAAAACATCTGAAAGGAAAGTACATTAGCTCTGATAACACTGCAAGATGTCTGAGAAACTGTGAAGCCCAATAAAGATGAGTCAGACTTAGAGTCTCGAGTCTGCTAGATGCCCTGAGAGCTGTACCCTAGTGCAGGCTGTACACTGTGTTAAACAAAGCTCTCAACACACTCCATCAAAGTGAAATTTGCAAAGGCTACCAAAGGGGTTGTCACTCAATGAAGAGGTTTGTAATGGTCAGCTTAAAACACAATAAGTGAGCTAGCATTAAAGAGAGCACCAATTTCTTTTTCCTCAAAGGGGAGAGATATGGTCATTTAAAGTAAGAGAGAGACACAGACAGATGTATGTAAGTGCATGGAGAATGGAAAAAAAATGGAAGGTCAGAGACCTCTTATTTGCCTAGATCCCATTCAAACTTGCAGAACAGTCTAGTGCCAGACATGTGAGACAGAAGGTCAAGGAGAAAGGTCCCAGAACAACTGGAGAAAGTGACTGTGAGGCACAGATTTTGGGCTGACCAGGGCATGGTGTAATCAGGAAGGAGACTACCTAACTGTAAAAATGTGTGTACTGCCTGTATACCCAGAAAA